TAGTATCCATGACCTTATGAAGAATATGACCTCCAATGTCTAATATCTGAACAGCTGGAGGATCAATAAAAGTCACTGCCATCATATCGTTTTTATAATCAATTCCCGTGCATCTTTCCCTGACTGTCAGGCTGTGACTTACGGACAATCCATTTTGTGTATTCAGGAACAAAATTTTGCCCTCATCAGGTAAAGTTGTTGCAGCAGACGAGGAATATATTGTAGTTACATCAGCGGGACGACTTGACGTTTCCAAGGTAGATGTGATTTTACCCTCTACATAATTCACCAAAATTAATGATTTGTTATCACCGTCTGCACACAAAATTTCTGCTTCAGATATGATTGTCATTCCAATAATGTTACAAGTTATTTTTTGGTTGTCCAGAAGTATTTCTTTTACAAAATGTGTCTTCATTTCAATGATACATTTCCTGCGCTTTTTCGAAAATGTCTCTAATTGTGTACATGTATGTAGATTGCAAAGACATTTATTGTGCAATTTCGAATCACCCATGTCCTCAGAAGATACGAATTTGAATATGTTTTAAGATGCAAGAACTGTCGATATTTTATCTTTAGATTTGATCAGGTGATTTTAAGCCCGGTAAACTTCCGATGTTCCTTATGACATGATTCTACCTGTTTTCATAATAACCCTCTGCTTGTACAGCGTAACCCGTGCCTGACTGACATGAAATAGTCCTTTGCGTCCCTTGACCTACATTGTTTTGCTATCTAAAAAGCCGTCTCTAACCACTTATTAGTTTTATGAAATGTTTTCACCTGAAAGGATTGTAAGATTGCTGTTAAATAAAGATAAAGTTATATCTCTGTGTATCATCATTTAAACATATTTATCTTTTTAAGTACACATTACAAATGCGCAAGTAAACAACGAAAAATCCATTTGTATTTGAAAATGATATCTAAATGTACAAGGAAGTTAAAACGATAAAATAGATTGCTAATCATTGCTTCCGTGAAGGGAGATAAATATTTATGTACTATAATACATTATGTGTAACACAATTTATTTATTAAGCTGCATACTTTGAAAACATAGCATCGTGGGAACATTAATAATTGTACCGTATCGTCTCGGCTTTTTTAAGGTTAATATAAAACATTTTTTCCCCTTTCTAACTTAATCCTCTAACAATTCCATTTGGGTTTCAAATGTTGAAAAGTTAATTTTCTGGTTTATTATGGTTTTGCTGAATTTCTTTATGATGATTTTGTTGATAGAAATGTGTTCCCTATTATATTTCAAGGTAGTTAAAGACTCTTTAAACATGGATGGTCAGCTGCGTTAGAAAGTAGTCCTGTCTTGTTTTTACCAGTAGTGTTAGCTTGATTTTAGTCATAAAAGCCATCTTGATAGTCTGCCTGATGAAGATTATTTGTATCATCTTTAAGAATACAGACTGGGAGATGCATACATAAGGAATAACGCACCTCATGATCAACGATATTGTTTATGTTGCAATACATTTGTCACAAAGGATGTTTGTATGCCCTTTTTTTACATAGTCTACGAATTGAGTACCATAAAAAGTGTTATTAATAATGACTCTGAAAATGAAAAACGAGGCTTTATGTGGCACGATATGCATTTGATAATTTGGTAGGTAATGTTTGGACTTTGGAAATGGAGACGAGGCTAAATTGATAATATTGAATCCGATAATGAATTCTATATTGGAACATCACGTGGTTCAAAAGCTGGAAGTTCATTAGTAATATATGAATATTATTTACAATAATTGCGTAAAGGAAAATCATATATGCATATTAATTAATTCATGATCAGACATGGAATTGATTATCGATGTAGATGAACTCAACTCAAATAATTAAATTTTGTATGATGCAACAATCACTTTTAGATTTACATGTTGAAAGAAAAATAAAAACAACATTACAACACATGTATATATGACATGTCGGAAAGGTGAATGTTAAAGGAACTCCAATGAGGTCTAAATGCTTAAAAACATAAATATTTGCATTTTTACATTAATCAACTGGCGCACTTAAAACATAAAATATGTAACGAATAAATAAGAAATATACTTAGAAATAAACTGAAAATCGTATTTTTGAGCTTTTTTATCCCAATTTAAGTGAAAAGCGTTGAAACGCCTTTCATTTTTTGGGACATTTATCACAATTAGAATAATCATTCTGGAAAAAAGGAGTGAGCGAATGATGTGAAATTTAGCACACAAGTAATCGGTCTAGACCTACCTCAAATTTAATGGAGCATTAATCCCGAAAAAAAATTTCCTGCCCCGTCGTGTTAAGGAACATTTAAGTTGAGTTCATTTAAAACACACAGAAATCAGGGCTAAGAACTATTTAGAACACACGAATACATTTGTCCTTCTTTAAAAATAAAAAGCTCAAACATGAATTTTATAACCCTTGAATAATAGTTTTAGAGCATGAGACATGCTACATCTGAAGATAAAAGAGCTAAATGTGAAATAATATGTCATAAAAGTAGCAAAATGTTAACAAATTAGTATTTTGATTTTCATACAAAATATAAAGTCACTATCATAACTACTTACTGCCAAAGAGCAACAGAAGCAAATGGCGTTTCAAGTAATTTGCAAATTAATAACTTTTTGGAAACAACTATAAGAAACGAAAAATTAAAAGCTTTTGAGAAATGGTATTGAAAAAGTTTCTGGGTCAAAACGGGCCTTTAATCACAGTGTACTTTGTATTTGCAATGATTGCATGTTCTTTAAAAAGAAAGTTCCTATATTATATATTGTTGCTTGAAACAATGGTTAACGTTTACCGGGTGAAATAATTCAACTCGCTATTTTATATTTTAATGGCGCTTATATTCAGCGTTTTAACCATTATCAAAATTTATTCTTGGGGAGTAAACTGTTGCCAATATTTAACAATAGTCATGATACAGACTTTTGACTGGGGATATTTATAAGCAAAAAAATGGATATGTTTAAATATAAATGACATATCGCCTTTCTCTTCTAATATATGACCGAAACGAAAACATTAATTTCGTTGCAAATTTTCTTTAAGATCTTCTATCAAGAATTAATCAAGAATTAATTGAAACGAAAAACCGTAAATATACTAACTAGAGTGCATGAGATGCATACAGATATGTGCAGAGGTACAGCATTTGTTTGTTTGTTAGGCCTATTTTGCCCTAGAAATGTTATTATTTTCATTTCTTTCAAGCATATTTTTCGTGTTCTTTTAAGTTATTGCCAATTACTCGAACAGTTAGTACTGATACGATGATTTAATATTTTGTATGGAAGACAAAATATTACATGTACGTACTTTGCTTAAATTTGCTACTTTTAAGACAAATAATTTCACATTTAGAGCTACCTGCTAATGAAAATAAAAATGGGATGGAATTCGCAAATATGCAAAAGGTTCTCCCCAAAATAGGAAGAGAACCGTCAGGGAGGAAACGTCAGGGGAAAATTGGAAAGGGAGAAAATAGTCTGACTACAGTACTGTTCTGGACAGAAAATAGCCTACTGTAGAAAATTCTGTCAACAATACAAGTTAAACATAAAAGGAAATAAACTGTTTTGTATATCATACATGTAATGAGGTCAAATGCATTATATAGATCGAGATCTTATTTTCGTAGTCGTTGTTTCAGGTTATTTTGGCAATAGTTCTTTTTTATTTGGATACTTTTCTCCACAAACATTGCATGTCTTATAAGAGTTCATTTCATTCTTAAAACTTATTTGCAAAATCAGTGAAGTTAGTACTATTTTAATATAAGTTATGAACCATGTAAATTATATATATATTTTCGTAGATGCCCTCTTGTTCATGCGTTCTTACAATACCAAATTTGAAATATTTACCATATTTGCCGCACAAACGTCTTATATTTCATTACAACACATTTTATTCTTTATTTTTTATTCAAACAAATCATTTAATAACAGCAAAAATAGTTTTTGATACATTTTATTCAAAAATAAATCTTATTTTCGTAGACCCGATCGTATTTCCGATTTACACGGAAATTCAAGCTATTTTCATACGATAGTATTTTCGGCTCAAACTTCACTTTTTAAACATATTTTTAGTTCTGAAATCTATTATTTTATTCATACAAATCAATTATTAAGAAACAAAAAATACGTTTTTAATACCGTATATCACGGATTAAATCCGTGATTATATCAAAAAGAAATCTTATTGTCGTTGACCCGATCTTATTTTCGCTTTACGCGGCAATTTGAGCTATTTTCGTACGATATATAGTATTTTCGGCTCAAACTTCACTTTTTTAAATATATTTTTTTGGTTCTGAAATTTTAATTTGCTGTAAAATCATTCAATGAATGCATTAAGATATATTTTACATAATTATTTCAACAGATTATGCACTATATAAAAAATAAATCTTATTTTCGTAGCCGCGATCTTATTTTCGCGAAAATAACTTAGTTTCGGTATCCATGTATGGACTCGGCCCGGTGAATTTTCGTACTATTAGTTCTATAGTAAATCAGTCAAATTTGAGGTTTAATTCTGGATTCCAATGTTCTTGATGAATTATATACTGTCTTCAACTTTAAACATTAACACTATCTAAGTCAAATGATGCCCAAAATATAATAGGTTAGCCATCTACTTTTTTCAGAAATCTTCATTCTGTTGTAACACTGTTTAAATTCACCACTTTAAAAACTCCTGACAGCTGGTGGGTAGTACATCTTTAATCCTTCCACCAACAAATGAGTTCCTGGAGAATACACAAAAAACAACTTTTAAAGTCATCATATAACACACAAAAACTACACACATGCAATAAATACACTTTAATTATGAACAATCTAACTAGAGATGACTTAAATTGGGCCATTTCATAATTTTAAAGAACTACTTTCTAGACTACAATGGGCTGGGTCTAATTCCGTACCGGGTTGAGACCGTATACCCTTTCTTTATCATTTAGTACATTAGAGCCTCAGAGTACTTTCTTTTCTAGTACGGCAAATAGACGGTTTTTAAACTGTTTCAGACATCACGAAAAAAAGAAGAAACGGATGAATATGACGTCAGTTAAAGAAGAAACACCCGGTAAACCCGTTCGTGATGTTGACCTTACTGCTGCAGGCCGTGGCGTGTGGCTGGTTAAGGTATTTTAATGTCACTTTAACACTGAATACAACATGTAACAAGAGCAAAAGTATACTAGTTTTCGGATAAAATCCGGTCGCCGATTTCGGATAAAAATGCACATTTTTTTTTTAATGAATGGCGAAGTAATGGTCAATATAACTTATATGGTTAATCTGTTTGCCTTTGTAATGGTCGAACTTATTAGATTTGCCAAGAATACATCAAGATAATATTTATTAGCAATGACTCCGCCCTGGAATTCAGTTACATTTCATTCTCAGTAAGTTGTTGGAATTTGACTTCAGGGTTTTCCCCATTTCTGATTTTTTGTGCAATGTTTTCCCAATCAGAAAGTCACAGCTTGTTTTGAGAATTGGGAAAATAACACCCTGATGTCTGCTAAAAGAAAGCGAGCGGTGACACTGAAAGTGCAGGGTGTTCCAGGGCCCAAGCAACTGGGCGATTTGGGCGACTAAGTCGCCTAAAGTTTCAGAACTTCGCCGAGTTTGAACATCAAAGCGAAAACGACTTTGCCGCGCTTTTTACTGTACATAAAGGTATCATACAGCGCATGTTAATTAAGTTAATCCTCGCCTCTTGGCATAAATCAAACTGAATTGGTGACGCACAGTTACTGCTGATAATTGACATCAATTAACACATTTAAGTGACATGATATGCAGATGCATCGGACATTATTGCCATTTAATTCGCCGATGTAAACATCACATTTTTAAGCATAATTTTACGACACCTGTCACTATTTTATCAGCGAGTGTAAAAAGATTACACCCGGAATTGCTCTTACCATATTTGACAATAATTAAATATACACGCAACCTCACACAGACCGTTTAAATTTACTTGCATATAAATTAAAAAAAAAAATACACACAGAAGCACAAGTAAATGGTTTGATAGCTGTTTGATAGTAAAAATGAAATTTGTTAAAGAACTTATTGACCCACATGAGACCAATTTTGGACAAGTCGAAAAACAGCAGTAAACTTTGTCATAAACGTCGGTACGTAAATTATGCGGTAAACTACAAATTTGAAAATTTTGTTTTACAATGCCTGTTGCAATAACGGATGAATAACAATCTAAAAATGATCATTGAATATTTAATTTAATATAATCAAAATCGACAACAACTAGAATTTTAAGTGTTTCTGCAGGAAACAGACAAATTTTCATTTGTCACATATTTTCGCGATGCCGATTTTTACGATGAAAAAAATAGTTACCAAAAGGAAAATTTGTTTTGTTAAAATGTGCCCAATAGCACTTAAAATGTAGTTTATTAATGAAAATTCCTTAAGGTATTGTTTACATTAATTTTGATTACGAATTTTGCCAGTATATGTTGTACAATGAAAATTTTCTTAAGGGAGCGGGGTGTGTAGAGTTAATCAGGAAGAAAACATTATAATGGTCTGATGATAGAGGGTTTTAGAATTTATGCTTCAAATATCACTATCAATAGATATGTAAAACTCCTTTTTATAGATCAAATCAATGTGCTAAGCCCTTTTTCACTTCTCCTTATGTCGTCAAACTTCTCCCTGATAGGAGCTGAGGGAGAAGTCACTTCTCCCTAAAATTTTGGTCTAGCTAGAGCCCTGGTGTTCACTAGCTATGAAATCCTGAGGGTTATTTTGACAAAGTTTTACCGACTACAAGGGCAAATCCCCATGATTTTAACAAAATTTGACCCTCAAGCTAAAATCCTGATGGTCAAATCAGGCCTTTTGGAAATTTGAATGGTCAAAGAGTCATTTCAAGGGTCAAATGGACACCCTGAAGTGCCTTCTAATATTGACTGAATCTCTAGGCATGTACTATTTTTTTGTAGGTTCCTAAGTATCTCTCTGAGAAATGGAAGAAAACATCTGGGAAGAGTGAAGTTGGTCGGTTGAAGATCACAAGATCCAAGTAATTATGCTACAGTTAATTCTTATAATTTTACAATTTAATGTTCTTAGTCAATAATACTCAGTATCGATTGAACACGCTGCAAATTGGAATTTAGATGATCTTAAGTTTAACTTGTACCAATGGATTCATAATTTACACACTAGCATGTCCATGACCATTGCAAGTAACATAACTTGCAACATTTACTTTATATGAGTTGTTTCCCTTTTTCACACTTTGAAAGTTTGTATGGTTTACCTAGCTATTTAAATATATAATTAGTTTTATTTGACTAATGGCTTCATACAGAGATTTTTTCCAGGATTTTGGGAACATGACCCATACCCATGGAATTGGAAATTTCAGCGGTGTTTTGTTAAAAATTGGGAAAAAATGCATGACTGAAATTTTACATGGATTAAATGGTTGCAAAAAATTTCTGTCTAGGATGGCATCTTCAAACATTTAAGAACTATTACAGTGAAAAAGCCCTTATTTTCAAAGATTTTAGAATTTTTATTTAAATTTTTTTATTTGTACCTTTCAATTGGGAATTTTTTCCTGTGGATTGGGAAAATAATATTTACTATTTTCAATTACGAAGGAATATGACACAATAATGGCTATAAAATAAGCCAAAAATAATCTTTGTCATACTATTCACAATTCAAAATAAAATACATATAATAGAAGTGTGGCATCTTGTTGGCTGTGAAAGACATCTGCGTCTTCTTCAGTTATTTTTTCAACTACCCTTAGTTATTACTGCCAAAATGTGTAATGAACTGGCTTTCCTTTGAGTTTGGATCAACTCTTGGACTCAAAAGCAACATCTAAATTCTAAAAAAATTCAGTCAATAGTTACATGGTTACAGGGCTTTGTCTGATATAGGTAAGTCATTTAATGAAATGTTAATTGCAATATTTTATTTTTCATCATATTTTTCTCTGTAAAGTTCCTGGGTAAGACTCCACATGGACTTGATTGAAACACCTACCATACTCTTCTTAGTTTGGCAGTCCTGGACTTCTAGTGTTAGCCTTGTCGTTATCATTGGCATTAGAGAGATGATTATGTAACTGTTTAGCTTGTTGTTTCAGGGTTCCTAACACGATGCCAGAAGTGACCTTCTCATTGAATGAATCACAGGTGAAACAAGAACTACCTGGTCAGCTAAGTGCAACACCTACAGATCACAAGTTTCGCTTGACCGGTGTTGGAAATCAAAATCTTGTTGTATTCTCTGAAGATAGAGGTAAGAAGTGTATTGAATATTTATATTTATTACCTGATACCTTATATAAATGTCATTTGGCAGGGATTTTTTTTTGCTTATTTTATAGCCGTTATTGGGTCATATGCCCATTTGAAAATAGTATATTATTTTCCCAATCCACAGGAAAAAACTCCCAATTGAAAGTTACAAAATAAAATATTGAATAACAAAATCTAAAATCTTTGAACATAAGGGCTTCTTCACTGTAATGGTGCTTAAATGTTTGATGGTACCATCCTAGGCAGTGATTCTTTGCATTCATTTAAACACTGCAAAATTTAAGTCACGCATTTTTCCCCAATTTTTAACAAAACATCGCTGAAATTCCCAATGCAATGGGTATGGGTCATGTTCCCAAAATCCTGGAAAAAAAACCTGTTTGGTATTTTTTACTGTTTTCTGAAATTCTTAAAATGTCCACGTTTGCGAACTGTTGACTGGTCAATAGTTGGAACTGTTTTCCTCGCATGCTCTGACGTAATGTAGAGGGTTCCCCCTAGGAGTGTCATAAACCAGACGTGACGTGACAGAGTTAAAAGATTGTTAAATTCAGAAAGTTTAATTATTAACATATTTGAAAAACTATTTTCTTGTTCCTTTTTTCTTTTGCAAGTACTGTTAAAACAGTAATTGATCAGGTAATAAAAACGGTATTTCATATTATTTTGTATTTAAGATATTAGTTTATAGTAACAAGTATCTTAAAATGAGAGTGATTTTGCTATATTCTGTGAAAATTTTCATAATTATTCTTTTTCTTTGAGACCACTTGTTTTTAAAGGCCATGTTCAGTCACTCCTGATGACATTTATTCACAGGTTTTGACTGTATTTTGCTATTTTGAAATTTGTTCTGTAGATTTAATGTACATATACAATAAGTCACATTTTTGTAAGAAGCTAATTTGGGTATTGGATATGCACTTAACATTTGTTTCTAGAATCATGAATGATAGATATATGATAGATAAAACAGTCATTTAAGAAAAAATAAGGAATACTCGTATAACAGTATTTTTATTTTCTACATTTAAAAAAGAACAATTCTTGAATTGAAAGCTTTAAAAATATTTTCAGTGACTTCACCAGGTCCATCAGCAGAGGAAATCACAGGTTAGCTTTATTATGCTCACTCTCATTTAAAAAGCAGAAGTATAAAAGTCCTTTTCCAGTTTCACTAGACATTCAGTATTTTAGCCCCTGGTGTAATAAAACTGTAATGATAAACTGAAAACTTGGTGTTAAACAAGAAATACAATGTACCATACTTTCAAAAATATTTTCTGTTTCTACACATCATAATATTTGTTATAAATTCTATATATTCTTTTCATTAATTGAGAAATTCCTTTATTTCACATTCTCTAATGTAAGTCAATTTTGATTTCAGAAAAGATTGCTATAGAAGGAAAAGTTATACAGCGAGCGGAGTGTAGACCTGTGGCTATTGCCGACTTGAGTTACCTCAAATTGAAAAAGTATGTCTTCAATTCTTAACATGCTAAAATTGTTTAATGTCTAATGAGTTTGGAACTCTTCAGTGAAAGTTTTAGGGATTTTAAATATCAAGTACCACCAGCATAGAGCCTGATCAGACTGGCTGGGCTCTATAATAATAATAATGATAATAATAATAATAATAATAATATCTTTATTTAAGAAGGTTACACATTAAGAACATACAATAGCAATCATAAATATCTTATTTCCAATGTGGTCTTCTGAAATAGAAAACAACAACAACAACAGAACATGCACTGTCGTGACCAAATATATTTTGTTTAAACAAAATCAGACTACACCAGTGTTTATTCTAGGAATTGAAAAATAGGGGTGATTTTCCCCCCTCTATTTCAAAAAAGGGGGCGATTTTCAAAATCAAGGGGTGCCAAAATAAACTGCCAATGTTAAATCGTCTGCATTAAGTTTACACTGAGGCGTTATTTATTTAAGGCAGCAGAAGTTGTCCCCCCTTAATTTTTTTAAACGAAAACAGATTATTACAGAACTGCCGCGATTGATTATAAAGGGATTGACAATACAAACAATCGACCTATCTTTCACACGTCTAGATTGTAGCCAAGCTAGGAATTGCCTCGTTTTTTCTTGATTATTTACTACACTAAAATGGCGCCCAAACTGTCAGACCGAGCACACTAGTTCCGGTTGGTACGGAACATTCTGTTAAATTTCCGTCAACTCACGTAACCAGTACCATACGGTACTAAATTACTATAATTAGCTTACAGTTAACTCCCTTCGGTTTCCGATGTAAATGTAAACAAAACAACCAAATATAATGCGGGATGGAAGTTTTACGATTTTATTAACTTTTTTTATAGATGCGCGATTTTCACGCACATGATTTTGAATTGTGCGCGATCTGTGAAATACTAGCGTGAATCGCGCAATCGCGCGTCCTAGAATAGACACTGCTACACTGAGGTGTTATCTGGCTTTGTTCTATTCCGATGGCATAGACAAGTTGTATAATAACCTTAACCAATCAGAGATAAACCTTTGTAAAAGACTACCTTTGAATAAAGACAACATTGTAACTAAAGGCCTTTCATTGAAAAAAATGAATAAAGTAACCTCCAAGTAAAGAACACGTGTGTATAAAGACCATGATTTGTCTCTCCTTGGGTGGCCTATGTTCTCACAGGTTTGACTGTATTAGTTTCTGGAAACTTTTAAGTTCATGGTTTGATGACGGCTAGAAAAACATGTCAGTTTATACAATGTATTTATATTTTTATTTGATTCCAGACTACAAGTGGTTTCAAGCAATAAACCGAAAAGGGAAATTAAAAAGATTGGAAAAGTTGTTCCAAACAAACCCATCAGCCATCATGCAACTGAGGTATTTACTTATTTTCTAGGAATATTGCTTTGATGTTATGTACATATCAAATGGATAAATATGTGGATATAGATATATATGAAAGTAAATTTGTTGAATTTTAGCATCAGTCAGGGTTTCTGCTAGGATTTTTTATCTAGGGGTCCCGGGGACTCATGTTCCTAAAATATGAGGGTCCCATGTAATATTTAGAGGGTCCCAATCATGAATAAGTTTAAAAGATAGGTATTATTTATAGATATTGTCTAGCTTTTTTCATTAAAACTTCGGGATTTTTTTGCCGCAGCCGACATCTTTATAACATGCCTAGCAACGAGGTAGACTGCTACACATTTCGAATGTAGTTCTAAATTCAATCATGCGCCGTTTTATTCCGCATTGAACAGTTTTTCCATTGAAAGAAAGATAACTCTGTTGTATACAATATAGAACCCATCTACAAATTTACACAATTTCCTTTTAAAAATGGAAAGATCTTTCAAAACAGGATTTACGGATTTGCGTCCCTGAGGACGCAGGCAATAAGTTATTGCGGGTCCTTAGTTTATATTTTAGCGTCAAGGACGCAGGAAATGTGCGTCAATGGAAACCCTGATCAGTTTCAGAAAAAGTCAAGCTATTATGGTTGTTAAGTCATTAATGTTGGTGAAGAAGCTGTTGTCATGCATAAACTTATCTAGCCCATTTCTTTTAAAGGTATAAGTTTGAAACTCTGACAACTTACTTAACTGGACAACATTTTAAAGTTGTAACTCGGCATCTGACACCTGTTGCTGTGAATATTATTTTAACTGGCTGTGTTATAATTGACTGTGTTTTAATTGATTGAGTGTAAAAATTGATTGTGTGTTAATTATATTAATTGTTAATGTTGAAATTATTTGAGTAGTCATTGTTTTGATTTTGTTGTTTTGATTGTGACTGTGTTTTTAATTGATTGTATAATTGATAAAATGAAGTTAAATGATTGAGTTTAAATTGTTTTTGATGATAATAATTGAATTATTTGTGCAGTAATTGTTCTGTTTGTTTTCATTTTTAGCTCATCTGTCACAAAGTGACAGGGTGAGCTTTTGTGATCGCTTTTCGTCCGGCGTCCGTCCGGCGTCCGTCTGTAAACTTTTACTTTAAATGACATCTCCTCATAAACCACTAAGCCAATTTTATCCAAACTTCACAGGAATGTTCCTTTGATGGTCACCTTTAGAAATTGTTCAAAGAATTTAATTCCATGCAGAACTCTGGTTGCCATGGCAACCGAAAGAAAAAACTTAAAATATCTTCTTTTAAAAAACCATAAGAGCTAGAGCTTAGATATTTGGCATGAAACATCTTCTAGTGAGTGTCTACCAAGTTTGTTCAAATAAAAGCCCTGGGGTCAAAATTGGCCCCGCCCCGGGGGTCATTGATTTTCCCTATATGCATATAGTAAAAACTTAAAAAATCTTCTTTTAAAGAACCCAAAGAGCTAGAGCTAAGATATTTAGCATGAAATATGTTCTAATGGGTGTCTACCAAGTTTGTTCAAATAAAAGCCCTGGGGTCAAAATTGGCCCCGCCCCGGGGGGTCATTGATTTCCAATATGCATATAGTAAAAACTTAAAAAACTTCTTTTAAAGAACCCAAAGAGCTATGGCTAAGATATTGAGCATCAAACATGTTCTAATAGGTGTCTACCAAGTTTGTTCAAATAAAAGCCCATGGGTCAAAATTGGCCCCGCCCCAGGGGGTCATTGATTTTCCCTATATGCATATTGTAAAAACTTAAAAAATCTTCTTTTAAAGAACCAAAAGAGTTAGAGCTAAGATATTTAGCATGAAACATGTTCTAATAAGTGTCTGCCAAGTTTGTTCAAATAAAAGCCCTGGGGTCAAAATTGGCCCCGCCCCGGGGGGTCATTGATTTTCCCTATATGCATATAGTAAAAACTTAACAATCTTCTTTTAAAGAACTCAAAGAGCTATGGCTAAGATATTTAGCATCAAACATGTTCTAATAGGTGTCTACCAAGTTTGTTCAAATAAAAGCCCTGGGGTCAAAATTGGCACCGCCCCGGGGTCGTTGATTTTCCTTATATGTGTATAGCAAAAACTTAAAAAATCTTCTTTGAAAAAACCCAAATAGCTAGAGTTAAGATAATAAGCATGAAACATCTTTTAGTGAGTGTCTACAAAGTTTGTTCAAATAAAAGACCTGGGGTCAAAATTGGCCCCGCCCCGGGGGTCATTGATTTTCCTTATATGTGTATAGCAAAAACTTAAAAAATCTTCTTTGAAAAAACCCAAATAGCTAGAGTTAAGATATTAAGCATGAAACATCTTTTAGTGAGTGTCTACAAAGTTTGTTCAAATAAAAGACCTGGGTCAAAATTGGCCCCGCCCCGGGGGTCATTGATTTTCCTTATATGTGTATAGCAAAAAACTTAAAATCTTCTTTTGAAAAAACCCAAATAGCTAGAGTTTAGATATTAAGCATGAAACATCTTCTAGTAAGTGTCTTCAAAGTTTGTTCAAATAAAAGCCCTGGCCCGGCCCCAGGGGTGTCATTGTTTTTAACTATATGTGTATAGTAAAAACTTAAAAAAAAATCTTCTTTTAAAAAGCCCAATGAGCTAGAGCTTAGATGTTTAGCATGAAACATCTTCTTATACGTGTCTACCAAGTTTGTGCAAATAAAAGCCCTTGTGTTAAATTGGCCCTGCAACATTGGGGGGGGGGGGCCTATATACAGGTGAGCGACCTCAGGGCCATCATGGCCCTCTTGATTATTGTGACTATGTTTTACTAGGTTGCCCATTGTGACTTTGTTTTACTAGGTTGCCCATTGTGACTTTGTTTTACTAGGTTGCCCATTGTGACTTTGTTTTACTAGGTTGTCCATTGTGACTTTGTTTTACTAGGTTGCCCATTGTGACTTTGTTTTACTAGGTTGCCAATTGTGACTTTGTTTTACTAGATTGCCCATTGTGACTTTGTTTTACTAGGTTGCTCATTGTGACTTTGTTTTACTAGGTTGCTCATTGTGACTTTGTTTTACTAGGTTGCCCATTGTGACTTTGTTTTACTAGGTTGCTCATTGTGACTTTGTTTTACTAGGTTGCCCATTGTGACTTTGTTTTACTAGGTTGCCCATTGTGACTTTGTTTTACTAGGTTGCCCATTGTGACTATGTTTTACTAGGTTGCCCATTGTGACTTTGTTTTACTAGGTTGCCCATTGTGACTTTGTTTTACTAGGTTGCCCATTGTGACTTTGTTTTACTAGGCTGCCCATTGTGACTTTGTTTTACTAGGTTGCTCATTGTGACTTTGTTTTACTAGGTTGCTCATTGTGACTTTGTTTTACTAGGTTGCTCATTGTGACTTTGTTTTACTAGGTTGCCTATTGTGACTTTGTTTTACTAGGTTGCCCATCAGAAGAAGATGAAAGAGGAAGGCAAGAGAATACGTCAAGATAAAGATCAAGTTATGGATAAATTATTTGAGATATTTGAAAAACATCAATATTACAATATACAAGATCTTGTCAGGCTTACTAGTCAACCTATTGTAAGTACAGTTTCACTTTTTGTCCCCCGCCTTTTCAAAGAAAAAGGGGGATATAGAAATAGGCTCCGTCCGTCCGTCTGTCCGCTCTCACAGGACAGTAATAATGTGGCTTGAGAGACAGTAGGTAACTGTTCTTTCTCTTTGATGTCATTCATTCTGTAATACTTTTATGTGGCTATTTTCTTTTGTGTCGCTAAAAAGAACAATAGAGAGAACAATAGAGTAGCCACATAATTACTGTCTAGTTAGAACGTCCGTCTGTCTGCCCGTCCGTCACACTTTCGTGTCCGGTCCATAACTTTGTCATTTATCAAAAGAATTTGAAATAACCTGGCGCAAATGTTTGTTATAATAAGACGATGTGTCATGCGCAACAACTAGACCCCTACCTCCAGGGTCAAGGTCGCACTTGCTCATTGTCTATTTGAGGGTATATGTCGTGTCCGGTCCATAACTTTTTATCTTTGAAGGGATTTTTAGCTCACCTGACCACGAAGTGGTCATGGTGAGGTATAGTGATTGGGCTATGTCCGGCGTCCGTCGTCGTGCGTCGTCAACAATTGGGTTGTTAACAGTCTAGCAGTCACAGTTTTGATCGGATCATCATCAAACTTTGTCAGAATGTCTGTCTCAATGAAATACAGATCGAGTTCGAAGATGGGTTATCTCGGGTCAAAAACTAGGTCACAGGAGCTAAAAATAGAAAAAGCTTGTTAACACTCTAGAGGCTGCAGTTTTCATCCAAACATTCTGGAAATTTGTCAGAAAGGTTGTTTTGATGATATCTAGGTCAAGTTCGAAGATGGGTCATCTCCGGTCAAAAACTAGGTCACAGGAGCTAAAAATAGAAAAAGCTTGTTAACACTCTAACAATTGGGTTGTTAACAGTCTAGCAGTCACAGTCTTGATTGGATCACCATCAAACTTTGTCAGAATGTTTGTCTCAATGAAATACAGATCGAAGATGGGTTATCTCGGGTCAAAAACTAGGTCACAGGAGCTAAAAATAGAAAAAAACTTGTTAACACTCTAGAGGCTATAGTTTTTATCCAAATATTCTGGAAATTTGTCAGGAAGGTTGCTTTGATGATATCTAGGTCAAGTTCGAAGATGGGTCATCTCCGGTCAAAAACTAGGTCACAGGAGCTAAAAATAGAAAAAGCTTGTTAACACTCTAACAATTGGGTTGTTAGCAGTCTAGCAGTCACAGTTTTGATTGGATCATCATCAAACTTTGTCAGAATGTTTGTCTCAATGAAATACAGATCAAGTTCGAAGATGGGTTATCTCGGGTCATAAACTAGGTCACAGGAGCTAAAAATAGAAAAAGCTTGTTAACACTCTAGAGGCTGCAGTTTTCATCCAAACATTCTGCAAATTTGTCAGGAAGGTTGTTTAGATGATATCTAGGTCAAGTTCGAAGATGAGTCATCTTCGGTCAAAAACTAGGTCACAGGAGCTAAAAATAGAAAAAGCTTGTTAACACTCTAGTGGCTGCAGTTTTCATCCAAATATTCTGGAAATTTGTCAGGAAGGTTGTTTTGATGATATCTAGGTCAAGTTCGAAGATGGGTCATCTCCGATCAAAAACTAGGTCACAGGAGCTAAAAATAGAAAAAGCTTGTTAACACTCTAGTGGCTGCAGTTTTCATCCAAATATTCTGGAAATTTGTCAGGAAGGTTGTTTTGATGATTTCTAGGTCAAGTTCGAAGATGGGTCATCTTCGGTCAAAAACTAGGTCACAGGAGCTAAAAATAAAAAAAGCTTGTTAACACTCTAGGGGCTGCAGTTTTCATCCAAATATTCTGGAAATTTGTCAGGAAGGTTGTTTAAATGATATCTAAGTTAAGTTCGAAGATGGGTCATCTCCGGTCAAAAACTAGGTCACAGGAGCTAAAAATAGAAAAAGCTTGTTAACACTCTAGTGGCTGCAGTTTTCATCCAAATATTCTGGAAATTTGTCAGGAAGGTTGTTTTGATGATATCTAGGCCAAGTTCGAAGATGGGTCATCTCCGGTCAAAAACTAGGTCACAGGAGCTAAAAATAGAAAAAGCTTGTTAACACTCTAGTGGCTGCAGTTTTCATCCAAATATTCTGGAAATTTGTCAGGAAGGTTGTTTAGATGATATCTAGGTCAAGTTCGAAGATGGGTCATCTCCGGTCAAAAACTAGGTCACAGGAGCTAAAAATAGAAAAAGCTTGTTAACACTCTAGGGGCTGCAGTTTTCATCCAAATATTCTGGAAATTTGCCAGGAAGGTTGTTTAGATGATATCTAAGTAACGTTCGAAGATGGGTCATCTCCGGTCAAAAATTATGTCACAGGAGCTAAAAATAGAAAAAGCTTGTTAACACTCTAGTGACTGCAGTTTTCATCCAAATATTCTGGAAATTTGTCAGGAAGGTTGTTTTGATGATATCTAGGTCAAGTTCGAAGATGGGTCATGTCCGGTCAAAAACTAGGTCACAGGAGCTAAAAATAGAAAAAGCTTGTTAACACTCTAGTGGCTGCAGTTTTCATCCAAATATTCTGGAAATTTGTCAGGAAAGTTGTTTTGATGATTTCTAGGTCAAGTCCGAAGATGGGTCATCTCCGGTCAAAAACTAGGTCACAGGAGCTAAATATAGAAAAAGCTTGTTAACACTCTAGTGGCTGCAGTTTTCATCCAAACATTCTGGAAATTTGTCAGGAAGATTGTTTTGATGATTTCTAGGTCGAGTTCGAAGATGGGTCATCTCAGGTCTCATGTCCAATCAAAAACTAGGCCACAGGAGCTAAAAATAGAAAAATCTTTTTAACACTCTAGTGGCTGCAGTTTTGATCCAAATTTCCTGGAAATTGGTCAGGAAGGTTGTTTTGATGATTTCTAGGTCAAGTTTGAATATGGGTCGTGTCCGGTCAAAAATTAGGTCACATTGCCAAAATATGGAAAAATCTTTATAACACACTAGAGGTCACATGTTTGACTCAGTTTTCATCAAACTTGGCCATGATGCTTGTTTAAGACATTGCTTGGATGCGGTTGTGTCAGGTGAGCGATCCAGGGCCATCATGGCCCTCTTGTTTAAATACTTGCCACAAATAGTCACTATAATAAGACGATGTGTCATGCACAACAACCTGCACCCCTACCTCCAAGGTCAAGGTCACACTTAGAGGTCAAAGGTTAACAGAGTCTGTTATATGGTATATTTTGTGTCCCGTCCATAACTTCTTCATAGATCAAGGGATTTTGAAAATGTTTTACTGGGCCTAAAATGTGTGCAACTGGTGATTTAAACTAAACTTTACAGAAATGTCATTGTTAAGTGCCCTAGTGAACATTTAGGTCATATTGTTTGGAGTTTTATGTTTTACAACTGGCAGATATTTAAAAAGAACATTATAAGTGTGTGAAGTTTCAACTCCTTCCCTCCAGTAGTTTAAGAGATATCATTTTGCATGGAAGTATGAATAGCAACACTGACGCCTGGTTGAGTACAACAGCTCTCCTAATTCTTCAAATTGTTATGCCAATAAATACAAAGAAATGCTAAATATCATGAATTCTGCTCTCTTGACTATTCAAGACATATCCCCATATTTCAGAATGATGTTAAAAAGCTAGCTAGGCTTGTCTTTTTCTATCTTTTTGGTTCAGGTCATAAAAGTTATATACAAAAAAAAACAGTTTATTATTGAAGTGCTCAGTAGGTTCATGAAAGTATTTGCCATGTCTGTAAAAATTCGTTCCCAATAAACAAACAAAAAAAATTTGCAATTAAGATTCAAAGACCAAAGGTCTATAATTTTGTGAAGATAATATGAAAATTTCTTCTTAATACCTATATAGTGAATGTGCTTTAAATAGAAGTTACAAAAAGAAAAAGAAAATAAAATAAAAAACTGTTACAAACATTCCATACTGGGAACTTAAAAGCCATTGATTATTTATGATGTCCTTAAAATAAATCAGAATATATCTGTCACTGTTATTCTTTTGTCATTTCAAGGGAGGTAACACTGAAAATATTATATTTCTTGTGATACAGATTTACCTCCCTTGCAGTGTTGTTTTTTCCTGTGATTTATTGATTTTTGATCAGATCACATGTTTGTCATTGTTATCTACATCATCACATGACTGTTCCCTTGTGTATATTGTTACAATAGGAACAGGATTTTCTACAGGAACTTGCCACTTAACTTCCTGCTTATCAGTTCACAAATATTTTACATGCTACCTTATTTTGTAGTTTAAGTGTGAGATAGCAAAATTCAGTGTCTGTATTGCAGCCATTTTAAGCTTGGTTTATAGTTTGTATTTAGTGAAGCGATTTTTTGTGTGCATGAAATAGAGGCCTTTTTCCAATGTACAAAACATAAAAATGGGAAGATTCCCCTTATTTTGCATAATAATAATGAAATTACCATCTAAATATGTGTACATGTATTATCTCCCAATCAGACCATTTGAGCCGCGTCACGACCAGTGCCTTTGCGACCAGCATGGATCCAGACCAGCCTGCTTATCCGCACAGTCTGATCAGGATGCATGCTGTTCGCTTACAAACTCTATAACAAGTAGAGAAACTGATAGCAAACAGCATGGATCCTGATCAGACTGCGCGGATGCGCAGGCTGGTCTGGATCCATGCTGGTCGCAAACCCATTATGTTGGTTTTGTCATGACACGGCTCATTTACTTATAGTATGGGCTTTGTAATATAGACTCTAGCATTGGAAGATAGTTCTTTATTTAATTTGTTTACTTCACAATATTTTACTTTAAAACACGTTTTCAAAATTTTCGTGAAAAATAGCATGAATTTGGAGGCATGCTGCTTTAAATTCATACAGATTGCATTATCTAGATCAATTGCTTAAAAAATTTTATTGAACATTTTTTATAGAAATGACAAAAAATGTCTTCATTTTACACATGCTTTCTATTTTGGTTCTTCAAATACGTATTCTACCAAATACAGTCAGGGCAAATATTATAAGCTTTTTATGTATTACTACATTATTAAGGATAATTACTGGCCCTGGCCTGAAAAAGCATGTTTGTCAGGCGTCACATTGGTATTTTCTCAAATACCACCTTCGTGGTCGAGGGGTTAGAGTTGTTGACTTCTAATCCAGTTA